CAAGCTGAGCAAGCGACAGTGCTGCTTGGTTCTTCCCTTTGTTTGATGTAATGCTTGGGCCCTGTAATATCATCTGCATCAAAGCCAACAGACTCTCTGGAATGCTTGTGTTCTGAACATCTTCAGTGCATGAAGCATTAAATCAGGCCTGCAAACTAAATAGATCCCTGCGTACTATCCTTGCTGCCTTTGCTAGATGTACAGCTTCGTCATCTATGGTTTCAGCATAGGTCTCTTGTAAGGTAGTGTTTAAACTGTCTGTGAATGTTAACAGAATGTCTCTGCCACTGTTGTGAGCTTGAAGGTCTGGAAAATGTGCTAAAAGCCGTGTTTTCAGTCTGCTACTGTGCAAACAGCCAGTTTCTAATCTAACTTCCTGTATACGACTAAGGTACATTTTAGAAAGATCAGCCAGTTTTAACTTTTAAGTTGTCACCTGTAGATGAATGTTTTACTTCTTCGATGTACTCTGTCAATTCAGCAAAGACCAAAGCTTTTCTAATTTGATCAGATCTCTGATCTGTGCAGTCTACTTTAGGCTGAGCCTTCCTGTATAGGCTAGTGAGACAGGCAGGATGGTATTTCAGTTCTTGGGCAATCACATCACCTCGACTTAATTTTGCCAAAAGGTGGCTTTCTTGAATCAGAGCACAGTTCCTAATCCTTTCATCCACCTTAAAAGTAGAAGCATGTCTAAGATCCTTTGCTGGTGCTTTCTTATCACACAAAAAACAACTGAGATCCTTATCAACTACTCCATCTCCAGATGATCTCTGTTCCCTGCGAGTAACTTTTTTAGCAGGTACACTTTCCTCAAGATGCAAGTTTTCTCTTCAGTTTTGTTGTATTATATTTTAAACGACATGACATATGAAATGAAGCTTTTTTTTTCATGAATGTTTCCTCAACACCATCTCCATCATCCAGTCTAGTTAAAATGCCAGGTGATAGTGCACCACATTCACCAAACTTAGTCAGATTTATATAGATCCTTGATTTGTTTGTCTGGCATTTGCGGGACACTGTAATTTTTCTTTGGTATTTTTCTGACAAAGGGCACACATATCCCATTTAGTGGGTTGAAAACGAGCAGCATCTTGGTTTTCATTTCTTACATTATGATTGTCCATGGCTGAATAAAAAGTGGCTGCACAATCTAAAAGAAAGAGAAAAATAAATGTTTAATTTGTTGAATACTGATCCAATACAAAGTTCTTAATAAATTCTTTACCTTATTTAACTAAGTTATTAACTATGTTTAACTACGTTCAGTAACCGAGTTTCTACAAACTGGAACAGTTTGCCTACCAATGTAAAACGAGCACCCTCAATTATAAACATTTTCAAAAATCTCAGACAGCAATCCAAAATTTATACTGCAGTTTAGATGCTATGACGAATGATAATGAAATAGGAAAATTTAATGCATCCAAACACCTAAAAGGCCTAACAGCCTGTACATCAACAAGCTCCTATTACTACTACTACTACTACTATTACTATTAAAATATTATGATTATCACAACCAGTTTGTTGGATTTTTTTTAATGTGATTACTGATCCAATATTATAAATTATCTGCATCCTATATTATATTTTATCATTATCTAAGAAAAATGAATGAAAGCACTTTTGCATCAAATTAAAAGCTACTTACCCAAATCAATGAATCTTTGCCTTTTCTGAGTTTCCTTAGACACTTTTGACTTTCTGTTTGTGTTCGCGTTCGGCTGTCTTGCGATTCAGTTTGTGCCGCACAGTACTCTCGCACTGAAGGCTTTATTTTAATTCTAAAAGTATGCGTACTCGGTAACCAATAAAATATTCAAATAGGACAAATTATTTAGTTAATTTTGGTATAAAAAAAGGAATTTTTTCTATGTTTACTGCTTCAAAACAAGGGGTTGCAAATAAATAAATTCCTACGTGTCTGCAAATAGTCCCTACGCGTCTGCAAATGGTCCCTACGCTTTATGATAACATTACATTAAAAAAAACAAAGATTTGGTTTGGCTCTGTTTCTAAATTTAAAATATTATTATTTGTGAACACATTTTAACTCATGTCATGTTTGTAGCATGATGATGCACGATCTATGCTTATCAATGCAACATAGAACCCTAGCTATATAGGAAGCATTAGTTTTTCTGGCTGGTCAGCACGCTTGGGTGGTTGCATAGCATGGTAAACTCCTAGTGCTCTAGTGCTCCTCTTTCTGCTCTGTCGCTGTCCAAGTGATCACCAGTTGCAATTGACGTTTCTAGTCTTTCTCCATTGGGCCATACAATTGGTATGCCAGCTCCTCTGTTGATATGATCTGTCTGAGTAAACTGTGACCCATTGGTTGTTGGGGTAATGGGTAGTCAGAAAAGAGTTTCACTAGTTATATTTTGTTTTTTAATTTAGTCAATGGTTGTTCAGAGTATTGCATTGTTCTGCAGTGCTGGTTCAGTGTATAGCCAACCACACCACTCTGTTCAAAATCTGCATCCCAACCCTGTTGCTGGTATTTAATCTATAATTTATTACTCATTTTGTAAAATTGCTTTTATTTTCTACATCTTTTATGCTATTGAATGCTCAGCCTGCTCTGGTTCAGTCTCTTTCATTGACATGTGAGGGAAGAGGTATTTGAGAGGTTTCCATGCTGCCTTGGGCATTCAGCAATCACTATTCAGCTTCAAGCAAATCCCAATTCCAATTCCTGGTTTACTAGGGGATTCAGACTCAAGACCCCTTGTTAGATAGCCAAGTGGTGTATTCCACTTAACCACTCATCCCTCATTAGGGGAACAATCATTGATAATTTAGCATGATTCATCTTTTAATTAATTTCTTTTGCTAATAATTAATTATGTATTATGACAAGATTTAAGAAATTGCTGACTTCATAGAATAAATAAAATAAAATTTTAAATATTTTTTTGGATAGAATTGAAACTCATGATAAAAATGATTCAATTTTGTTTTTAATTATCTTGTATAATTGTATCAGAAATATTTAAATGAAATTGGTGATATTTATAATGAGCTTTACAATTGTTATTTTATTTCATCAAACAATGCTTCTGACGAGCTGTCTTGTCAATGACATGTAAATTAAATATAAGGGCATGAATGATCATGATTCTTGTTTGTAATTGATAGTCAACTGACCAATGATACACTCATGTTGAAATAACAAAGTATGCCTAAACTAATTTTTATTTCAAGATTGTTGATAATAACCTTTCCTTCATTAAGGGTTGTTTTTTTAATTTAAGTTAAAGAATTTGTCTTTTTTAGTTTTACTCATTTAGTTTTACATTTGTAGGAAAGTTTTAAGGTTTGTATGGCAGCATTGAGATGTACAACTTTAAGTGTTTTATGTTTAGGCTTAGATCTTGAGAAAAGTTTATATTGTTGATATTTTGGATATTTGGCACATTTTTGTACAGTATATAATGAAGTCATTTTTGTGACTGCCAACCAGAAGCATCAACAATGCAATGGAATAAACTTTAGGAGTTTAAAATTTGTAAACATCACACTGAAGATTATTTATTTTAAAATTCAATTTGTTCCAAAATTACATAATGAGATTATACTTATCACAAGGTTATATCTTACAAAAATATTTTATGAGGGGAAAAAAATAAAAAATGGGTTGAAAAAGATAACTAGGCACCATCTTTCATAATATTGGTAAGACCCTCCCCCTTCTTTAAAAAAAAAAGATTAGTCAAGTACAACTGATTCAAGGATATGTATTATATATAATTGTATTATTTTTAGTTTGATGCATGGGCTTTCAAAACCTTGAGAAAATATTACTATTAACGAATTGATTAATTATATAATGAGTTATCAGTTTTGTGCATATGATAAATTGGTTACAGCTTTTATTGAATTATATTGTTATTTGGATTGGTTTGTGAACTCGCATAGCTTTGAAATACTTATACACATGAACAGTTGTCACAACAAAATGTGTTTTCTATTTGTTAAATTTGGTTTCATTTTTTTAAAGTCTGTTTACTTTCAATTGACATTTGATGATGATACTTTGAACAGGACAGAAGAATACACATTGCCTGTGTAACACACAAATCAATACCCTTAGAGACATGCTAAGCATCCAATCAAAGATTTGAGAGTATCATTCTGTATAAGTGATACAATGCTTCTGACGAGCTGTCTTGTCAATGACATGTAAATTAAATATAAGGGCATGAATGATCATGATTCTTGGGAATTTAAATAAAGAATGATTCCTAATCAAATTATTTCATTGCATTCAATGGTCCTAAAGATTGCATTACAGATCTAGTTCTAAATGAACTTTCTGCTATGAATACATCTTTTTTTTTTCTTACACTTAACATTCAAAAACAACTTTGTGGAATGTATCAAAATATTATTCTCTCCAAAGGCTAAAGATAAAAAAAAAATAAGGGATTAAAACACTTCCTTTTGAATACTATACAAATAACAACAAAACAAACACAGCAACTATATAATGAGTTTTTCAAGAAAATTTTATTCATTTGAAAGAAAAATGAATTTGGCTAACAATTTAGCATAAAAAAGAAACCCAGTCAAAGTAAAATGCTTTGTATATACATGATACTATCAGTGATAGTAGATCAACTACTGGTTGTCAGTTGTAGTGCTTATTGAACCTTTACAACTCAATTGTAGGACATCTTTTTTTTTTTTTCAAGTATTGAAAAACAGACTTAGAAAAAAATTCATATGCATTCATTCTTCTTGAAAGACTTAATAAAGGAATCATTTTAAAAGTTAGTCTTATAACTTGAGCACTTAGTTATATCATGCCTGTTCCAACAGTATTTTGTCTTACAGACATGATACATTGGAATCCAAGATTCACTGACTTAGATCATCATTTTAAAAATCATTTACAATTTTACATCATTTATGAAAAAAAAAGTAACATACATTAAAGGATAACATTATAAATTAACCATATAAAACATGTCTAACATGCTGAAATGAATAATGAATTTAAAAATCAACATCCACAAAAACATTATGTAGCTATGTAGTGTATCTTCAAGTGACACCATGTCTCTAAGATTTGATATAGCATAACAGCACATTAGAATTGGTCATATTTATAAATAGTATCACTTGGAGGGATGTGAGTTGAACAGTGAACTATTCTATTATTAGTACCACTTGGAGGGATCTGACTTGAACAGTGAACTATTCTATTAATATGACATTGGAAAAAAAAAATTCTAGAGATGAAACAAACACAATTTACTAAGAGTGGTGTAAACATTTACAAAACTTCCACTTTAATGAGTGTCTGAGGCTTGGATTAAACGTTATCTACTGCATCAACTAGTAATTTCCTGGTCAAGGAAAAAAATACAAGTAGAGACTTACTAAATATATTGATTTTTCCTGCATAATACTTGTGCTCGAATCCCACAGTAAATGTAAAATCCCTTTCTCATTGCAGCATATAAGTAACCTTGAACCCTAATGACTTTGAACAGAATAAAAGAAGATATGCCCTATTTCACTTACTTAATCATGTGATCATTATGTAATTAAAACTTTAATTTTCACAAGAAATCTTACAAACTAAAGATTTGAGATATATCCATATATTTCAAAAACTAGTTAGAGTAGGCAAATGTATATCTATTATTTCCAAAAAAAATGTTAGAGTAGGCAAATGTATATCTATTATTTCCAAAAAAAATGTTAGAGTAGGCAAATGTATATCTATTATTTCCAAAAAAAATAGTTAAACAGCTATTCATGATGTGCTAGATGATAATATATATAATATACAACAAAGACAAATAGTTAATGCAGTGCCATGAATATTTATATTTTCATAATGCATACATAAATTATTTGAACACAACACTTGGCCTTGCAATCACAGGTGAATTTTATAGTTTGTGTGTGTATATGCAAATGCATCAATACTGATTTTTAAACAAATAATTTAAAGTTGACTAAAAAAAAAACAAAAAAAATTGACTACATTTGCAATGTAGAGGGACGCTGAGTTTATATAATTAAGATACAGAAAACATGAAAATAAATATTATAAATCACATCATTGTATGACAGATAATCTATCACACTTCAGACATCAACACTAACTTTGTCTTTGAAATTCTTTTCTTACATAGTGCTTTCTAAATAATCATGACATGCCTATTTCATTATCCTGTTTCCAGTTAAGAGCAAAACTTGGATATCTGGTATATCATTATTTAGATTGTTTATAATAGCAAAGAAACTTTACAGACATTACTAATACATTCTCTATATGGTGTATCAATCATAGGACCTTTTGAAACTGTAACATAAGACATACAAGTTTGTTTTCAAACTCAAATGAATTTATTTTAAAATTATTTTCCCTCAAAAGAATGAAAAGAGAATTGTACAATATACATATAATATATATATATTATTCAGAGAACCACCTTAATTTTTAAAAAATATTTTATAAAACAGCATAAAAAAAGCTTTTAAACATCAGAATCATGACATGATAGTAATTTTTAAATCACTGACATTTTAATCTAACAGTGTTTAATATATTTTGGTATATACATTAAGTTGTTATTAATATACTTTTTAAACTAAAACTCTGTATGAGTGGTTTCATTTACAATTAGATAAATGCCATCCGTGATTCAAGATCATTCATGACTATCTTACTTTCATACACACAACATCTGTATAAACTTGAAACTAACAGTTTAGATACATGTTCAATATCATTTTTTTAAAACTATTTTTACATTTACATCTTTTATGCTATAGCAAGGGGGGCGCGGAGGCTCAGTGGTTAAGCGCTTGGCTTACGAACCTGGGGTCCTGGGTTCAAATCTCAGCAAAGACTGAGATTTTGAAAGATTTTTAGGGCGCCCCTGAGTCCTCCCAGTTCTAATGGGTATCTGACTTTGGTTTGGGAATAATAAAGGCGGTTGGTCGTTAGGCATGACATGACACCCTGCTCATTAACCGTTGGCCAAAGACTTGACATCATCTGCCTCATAGATCACAAGGTCTGAAAAGGAAAACTTTATTATGCTATAGCATGTTCAGTCCAACGGTCCTATTTTATTTGTGAACCTGTGGGGGGAGAGTGGGAGGTTTCTGTGCTGCCTTTAGGGGCTTAACAAACACAACTCAGCTCAGTGGGAATTTGATCCCCCTTGATAGGTAGCGAAAGCCATTTAGCCATACATTTCACAATAGTTAATGCATGATAAATTTTAAATTAAATTTCTAATGCCATTTTCCCCCATAAAATGTACAAATGGAATGCCAAGCAATTAATCTAACAACCCAAATAATACACTGAGTGCATTGCAGTATATTACAAAGAATGGAAGAAAAGAATGATCCCTATATGGTACAAGCCCATAAAATTTAAAAATGATTAAGTATCAAATGCTTTACTTCAGTAACTGCAAAAAGCATTATAAAAACAAAATGACAAATGAAGTGTCTGCTACACAAGCTCATCATAGGAGGCTCCTTCAGGATAGTCTTTTTTACACATTCTTATGCAGCATGACATTTACTAACTCATACATAACTGCATTTACAAAAGTGACTTGAAAATAACTAAAGTGAGACTGTCATAATATAAGCAGAATTGTAGAACAAAAATGAGGATCTTGTTCATTTCTTTTGCAATATCATCTAGACAAGTTTACTAGCTGCTTATTTCATCTTGTTTTAAAATAGTTTCTACAATATCATCTAGACAAGTTTACTAGCTGCTTATTTCATCTTGCTTTAAAAATAGTTTCTATGTATGCCTACAATATAAGCTTAATGTTATAAGCAATATTCTGTGGCTAAGTCCTAAATTAGTAGCTTTTAGTTACTATTTTGTCTGGTCTGATTTGTTTTTATACCTAAAAAGCACATTTGGTGGTTACTTAACTGTGAAATTCAAAAAGACAAAAATTGAATAAGAACTAACCAATTTGTTTTGCCCTACTATACAAGAGGGACATTAGAAACTTCATGGGAAAAAAAATGGCATGAATGAATTATTCTGGCTTTTGCTGTTAATACTGATAACTGACACATTTTTTTAAATAAATTCAGAAAATTTATAGAAATAGGATTGAATTTGTCATCACAAAAACAAAAAAAAATTCAATGACCTAATAAATGGTGAAAACACAATTTATAATCAAGCAATGAGATGATGGAAAGTCAAGCTATTAAAAAATTATACATAAATCTTTTTAGAGGTTTCAGAGGAAAAAAAAATCATGATAAAAAAAAAATACCCAATAATATAATATATACATATACATACATGAAAACATTTATTTGAAAGTAATTAGTAGCAAACTTACTTAAACATTGAAAATACAAGTGAAGATATTGTTTTCTAGAATTGAATTAAATACCCATATTTTCTATCCTCATCATCTTAAAAGGAACTTTAAACTTTTAAAATGGACTTTGGTCACATTCTGCAAAGACATTTTAGTTTGAAGCTATTTACAATAATAATAATAATAAGGATTGTCTTCGAGTCCAAAGATAAATGAGGAATGCAGTATTTCAGCCCCAACTGTGACATACATGTTTAGCCACTTCCAGGCATAACCATTGTCCACTTTAAAAACCAGCTTAGATGCCAACTTGTTTAAAATGACATAAAAGAGAGCACCTGGTTGCATGCAACTTTGGAAGGATACAGCTGGAGGTCACTAACAAAGGCTGTGAGATACACATTTGAGTCCAAAAGAAAATCTACTGCCGAGGACATAGATGGCAAAAAGAAAATCTAAATTGAAGCTTTTTATATGATGTCAATAAAAGTAGCTATGGACTAAAATATTATTTGAAACAAGCAACAATGCACTCCAGCACGGGTCATCCAATACAGCTCCAAAACAGTGGGTAAGTTTGAACTATTAATTGACCATCACCAAATGAACAGTGTAAGTAAAACAAAAGTAGTACGTAATAATGAGCTTTGATTTCATTGGACAACATGTGCAACAACAGCCTATAAAAATGATTAAATTCAGCAAGAACAAACTAAGTTGTAAATGGTCAATAAAACTAAATTTAGCTGTATGTCACTCAATAAATGGCAGTGTTATAGCAACCTATTTAAGAAGCAAACTTTGGTTATTTTAATATGGTCATAACCTGTAAAATAACCAGCGAAAAAAAAATTGAAACTGAAGAATATAAGTACACATACTTCTTGGTTCTCAAGAAATCTTTCAACAGCTGTATTACATACAAAATTTAATAGAATATAAATGATTAAAACACCTTTAGAAATGATCCAGTAAATATTTGCTTGATAAGCCACTAAAGTTTCAATGGCTATCAACCGGAATATAATAGTAATAATAACATACATATGTTGTGACATAATTTACAAGTATTGTATCCATAACTGAAGTAGACCAGAGTTCAAAATATTCACTCTAATGAGTAAAAACTTGAAAAAAAATATGTTCATCATCCAATCCAGCTCCGTTACTTTCATACTGTAACAGAGTCAATCAATGTAGTCATGCTAATCTACTTCTTTATAAATGTAGACAATATTTTGTTCACTAGAAGATTTTCATTCTTGTAATTATAGAAGCACTAATTGCAATGAATACAAATATTAAAAATATTCCTCCTTCTATTTAATCAAAGTATTAATGAAAAAAAAAATTCTATTTCAATCATTCTTTAAAAAAAAAAATGAGTTAAAAATGATATGTTTAGAAACATTAATGATTATCTAAAGATAGCATAATTAAAAATATACACCAAAATTAATTCTTAAACTAACAACATAATAAGTAAAAAAAAAATTGTTATGGAATTATGGAATCAAAATAGATTCACATTTTTCATATATCATTAAAAAAGCAATTAAATATAATTATCACAAGTAGTTTTTTTTTTCTTTTCTTTTAAATAATGCCTGTATTTACTGGGACTTAATGCTAGCCAAAACAGAATGACAGAGCTGATCAAATGTGTAATCACCAAAATATTTGAAGAAATGTTCCAGGTTACAGAATCCACCATTGGTTAACCCCTTACAAAACACAACCTCTGAAGTAACCACCTTACCATTCTGCAGCACACGGAAGAAATAGTCCTTAGAGTTCAGCCTGCTGTAGAGTTCAAACACAATCCTAGTAGCATACCCGGGCCAGAGGCCATCTTCCAGACCCAAAGTAGCAATTAGTGGAGACACTGTTGTGTCATGACCTGAATAAAGGTGGAAGCTTGGACCATTGCCATTATGAATAGCCATTTCAAAAGCTGACACAATTTTCTTGAGCAGCCCAAACATAGAAACTTTTGCAAAAGAAATGTACTTGGGGCTTTTATTTAGACAGTTACTGAGATAGTCCAC